CTGCTCAGGGACTCAGGTCCCATTTCTCTTCACCGGCAGATCATATCGTGAGGGCAACAGTCAGAGTCATTATCAGATGGTCACACAGATCTAAACCCACGATCATCAGCGAGAGTACAGCATTCATATAATTGCCTTGGCCTTTAATCTCCCAGATGCCACTCATTCCCAAAGTTACTTAGATCAGCACCTTACCCCTAACTCCTTTTAGTGAGACTTTTGTAGGTTTGTAATAAAGTTTTATCACATTTGTGTCTTTTGTCACAGTCTGTATTCCATTGTGGGACTGCCTTCTCTGAACCATCTAAATGAAATTTTAAATGTACATAAAGTTCACTCTTTGTACTGTAAAGTTCAAAAGGTTTTAACAATTATATAGTGACATGTATTCACCATTAAAGTTTCATACAGAACAGTTTAATCGCTCTAAAATATTCCTATATTTTACCTATTTAACTTTCCCTCCCTAACTCGCTCCCCCTTGAAAACCCAGAAGTCACTGATCTTATTGTTTCTATAGTTCTGCCATTTCCATAATGTGGTATCACTGGAATCATAGTACAGAGTTCTTGCCAAACTATTTCCATTTGGTTGGCAGTAGGCATTTAAGATGTATTCATGTTTTTGCACACTTGATTGTTCATTCCATTTTGTAGCTCTACTGAATAGCTAAAGCAGTTTGTTGGAATACCTGTTTATTGAAAAAAAATTGATTTCTTCCAATTTTTCATGATTATAAGTAAAACAGTTATAAACATTCATATACAGCCTTTTGTGTGGACACAGGTTTTCAGATTAATTGGGTAAATAAGTAGGAACACAATCGCTGAATCATACAGCAGGACCATGTTTAACTTTGTAAGAAACTGCCAAACTGTCTTCCAAGTAGGCTGTGTCAGTTTGTGTTTCTATCAGAAATGAATGAGTGTTCCCCTCGCTCTCCAACCTTGTCAGCAGTTAGTATTGTTAGTTTTTAGTCATCTAACAGGCATGAGGTAGTATCTTCCTGTTGCTTGTTTTAATTTCCACTTCTCTAATGTCAATCATGTTGAATATCTTTCACATGTTCATTTCCATACATGTATCTTCCTTGGTTAGGTGTCAGTTCATATCTTACTCCCATTTTTTAATTAAGATTTTTATCCTCATTGTTTAGTGTTTAGTGTTATTTTAATTGAGCATAATAAGTTTATCAGCTAGGTGTTTTATAGCCTATCTTCATTCTCTTAATAGTCTTTCACAACACACAAGTTTTTACTTTTAGTAAAGTTCAACTTATTTCTTTAATAGAGTATGCTTTTGGTGTTGCATGTAAAAACCGAAAGGATATATTGATACATTGATTTTTTTTCTTCTAGATATTTCATAGTTTTGCATTTAACGTTTAAGTCTATGATCCATTAAGTCTATGATCCCAGGAAGGAAATCTGGGGCTGGGTTTCGTGTTTTTGTATTTTGGGCAAATGTATGTCCAACCATTTGTTGAAAAAAAAAAATCCTCTCCTTAAAGTGTCTGTATCAAAAATAAGTTGACTATATTTGTTTCAAAATAATTTTAACCTGTTCATGAAATCAATAATATCCAATCTTATTCAAACAAAATCTAGAGTGGATTCTACTAAATATCAGCATTCATCAAATGATGTATATATGTTTTTAAGATTTTATTTATTTATGAATCCACAACTGGGGTACAGACCAGAGGTACTGTGAGAAGATTCACCAGTGACAGAGTGCAGAACAGAACAGGCAGGAAAACGAAGTACACTGCTGAGGGGAGCAGCGGGCAAGACAGGAGCGATCTGTCATTTCATGTGACATGCCATCGAACTCTCAGCGACGTGGTTGCGGCTAATTTGGCAATGCTGTCTTTTAACCTGTTGTGCCACCAGGGAGGGCCCAAATGATGCATATTTCTAATGAATGATTATGAAACTATCAAAACCTATCTCTTCCCTGCTTCTTCTCTTCATATGCACTAACTCCAGCCCCTCCACCAAAGTGCATTTTAACCTTAGGGTCTAAACACTTTCTTCTGGTATAATTTCAATCCAATTTTCTGTTATGGACCTGAAGAACCCTTACAGCTTGTGATTTTTTCTTTGTTTTTGAGAAAAGAGATTACATTAGCATATTATGACTGTCAAGAAAGTTAGATCAAGATCTGGATGTTCTTTTCCACCAGACACATTATTCATATTGCAACAAAGGAAAAGAACATGTAATGTTTATAAAATTTCCATGAAAAGTATCTTTTAAATAAAAAATGATACTGCCTTAGCTGTCTAACATTATTATTTGGAAAGTGGAAAGGGACTGGTTGCTTAGTGTCTTAAATGAGTAAGACTCTTCATACACAGCCCTCTGTTTCCACTCCAGGTGAAGGCAAAGACCCAGGTTTAACACAGTCTCAAAAACATAACTGTGGCTCCTTCAGTTTAAGGTCTGGTCAAAGCAACTATCTGGTGCAACCTACCCTCTGTCAGGGAATTGGATGCTACCTGAGTAATATCAGATTATTTTCTTTGCATGAGGAATAGTAGAAACTTTAAAATCCGTTCACTAATCTGTTTTCTGTCATCTTTGAACACCCATTTCATTATTTTTAAAAGAAACAGAAGCAGGTTTATCTCAGAAATGGTCTTATTTGGTACTTTTCCCTCAGTGGTTTTCCTTTCTCCATTCAGATCTTATTTTAAAAGTCATCTGCTCACACTATTAAAAAACAACAACAACAACAAAAAAAAAAAAACACTTCACCTACTTACAATGTTTAATTTCCTAAATAGAACTTACTACTTTTCAGTGACCACTGCATTATTTTCTTTTTGTTTTTGAAATTGCTCGTCCACTTCCCTTTAGTGAGTAAGTATCAGGAAGGCAGGAGTCTTGGCTGTTGTCGTTATTACTAAGATCTGGAGTACAGCAGGTTCCAGTGAAAAGTGAATGAATGGAGTGAATGAATGCAGGTAGATTATAAAACCTGTGTTTTCTGTTAAAGATCCTTGAACAACTGAACATTCCAATGTATCAAAGAGACCAATCTATCCTAGAAAATACAGAGGCAATAAAATTAAAAACTCCTTTCCAGATGGCATTCATAAAACAGTGATGGACGATATTCAGTTTCCTCCATTTTAGTGAAAAAAAAAAAGGAGAAAAAAAATTACCTGGGTCATGTACTTGAACAATACAGGAATAAATCTCATCAACCAAAACCAAGTAAATATGTTCAAAATGGTCCTCAACTTCTGCATTCAGCATGGACTTCTAAAATACATACAGAATATTCAATAATATTTAGCTAGCAAACAAAAGAGATTATCTAAAAATGAGGTCCAAGAAACGATTCTTAGATACATGCAATATTTGAGCTGGCAAGGACATCAGATAGCCAGTATTCTAAATCTCAGAATTTGAGTAGCTAAATACAGATACTTACATGTGCTTATGGGAACAACTGACAACTATGTAATACATGGAACCCTAAAAACTTTACATTTTACCACAGTATTAGTGGATTCAGTAGAACCAAAAAAAAAAAAAATCAACATTATTGTTTGCTTGTCATGATGTAGACCAAACAGTCACTTGTTTTGGTAGAACTCTGAATCGAGCTGAGTTGAAAAGCATTCCAAACACTCATGAATTTCTATTGTACTAAACAAGTCAGAGAGTGCACAGACAGTGAGCGCTGGACCATCTCGTCATTCACATCTAATTATAGGAGTGATGCAATCAAACAATTAAGGGTGCACAGATTACGCTTGGAATATTTTTTTTTATTTCTTGGCCTGATTATAAAAAAGAATATTATTTTAACCAATTCTATTTTAGAAATTATACTTATTTTATTTTTTCTTTTGTGATGATATTCTCATTTTGGTACAGCTGATTCTTCTTTATAGATACCTCATAATTAGCAATAGAATTCAGGACCTAGTATTTTGAGATTTATGCAGGAAAAATATGTCAATCAAAACAAAATTAATTGCAATAAAATGAGATCTTCCAAATTGTTTTAAGAATCTGTTATCTCTACGGTATGAATAAACTCAGACATAATTAAGAGGACTTTGTATATCAGAGGGCCTTCTCCCTCCACTCCATATTTATTCAATTTTACAACAGCTTTTGGTTTCATTTAATACATTATTGTAGAAGAAAGGTTCATAAAATAGGTATAAGAAAGTGAGAAATAAGTCCCTCTTAGTTTTTTAAGTGAAGCATTAAAAAGTAGGAAACTTAAAAAATGACATTCAAATGATTTTTTAATTACTACAAGGCATTGAGATGTTAATATACTTCATATAAAAGGGATACTTTCCTATCCATCCTTTTCTGCCTTGAATTCAACTCTAAGAAAATTATTTCTTTTGATCCACTCTGATAACATGTAATAAAAGAACAATAAAACATATGGCTCAATTACCACTGCTTCTCATCAAGCATGAATTAATGAATATCAAATTATTAATTGTTTTTTTCTGGCTCTCTATCCTTAGGACAATTATACATTGTTGTATTTTGACAAGTATTTTGTGTTTAACACTTTGTGGGCCAGTCTCTAAAAGGAACAAATCCTTACAATTGCTGTACTGAAGAAAAATTCTTTAAATTTACCAAATTTAGAAAACACATAATTATCTTATAATCTCCTTAGTCTTTGTGAGCTTTTCACAAATATCTTACACAATCCTGGAATTTTACCCACCTCTCAATATTCCATTCCCTTTAAGATGAAGTAGCTGTGTGCCTATAAAACAGCTTGTAAATTTAAGTTCTCAGTTTTTAATAATAGTAGCTCATCACATGTAGTTACGAAATTATCAATTTTTTAAGAAGAATGGTTTTGAAAAATAAAAGCAACAGCTTGAGCAGTTAAAAATTAAGTGAAACAGCAAAATATAGAATATAATAAATTGTCATCACTGTATCTGACAAAATCAATGTTAGTGAATGATATTCATAGACACTCAACAAAAAGATTTTGTGTACATGATAGTTGATTTTATTTATCAGAGGTCTGTAAATCTGAAGTGTTATGTAGTATGGATAGATGTAACATGCTAAAGAATCTATCTGTTGTCCATAATCATTATTTCTCAAAGATGATTTGTATACCCATGTTTTGAAATGCATGCAAAGAGATATTTAACAAATTATATATAACTACACATGTCAGACTTTACCCACTACCCGTAAATCCATGTTTTTCTGTTTTAAAAACAAACTCTATAAGCATGTATCTGTAATAAACTGAAGGATGACTCTACAGGGTTAAGACGTCCTCTTCAGTTCAGTAGGCTTAACAAATACACATTCAGGGATCTTTCAAAAGGGCAAAGAAAAACTTGTCTTAGAATTAGAGAATTTGGGAATCAAATGGACTTTAGAAATAATTTTGTTCAATGTCCTTCATGTGCAGATAATGACACAGAGATCTGGAAAGCTTAAGTGATTTTTTTCTGAGATCCATTCAGCTTTGTATAGTAAGATCTTTCTGCCAACCTTTACAAGAAAAATTCTATTATAATTTCTTTGGCACATAAAGAAAACATATCTTGCTGCTTTGACAGTTTCTCCGGAGTCAATAATGTCTGGAAATCCAAATCTTAGGGAAATATAGAGGAGAAAACGAGAAACTTTCTGTCATGGGAACCATCATGCCTAGCTTGGTGGTGCAGGATTAGACCTGGGTAGAGTCCTCAATGCTCATTGCCAGCAGATGTATCATCCTTTGACATTTGGTAAATGGAAACCTTTGGATTTTTGATCACCAAATCTACTCAGTACTAGATAGTTTCTTTTTTTTTTATCTGACCTTTTGAAGGCAATTAGATTATTTATGCAACAGCAGAGTTCTTAATTGTATGAGTCAATCATCAGTGTAAAAGCTTTTCTAGATTACATTTTCTTAAAATAATGCTTAATTCCTTAATGAATGCTTGCATCTTGATTTCCATATGGCAGAATTATTGTATCCACTTTGCTGAAAAATTTAAAGAAAACAGGAGTTAGAGATATGCAAAATTTAGAACAAAAATAAGCCTATAACTGAAATTAAAAAAATACTAATTCCTCAAGGGGATGAAATAACCACTCTTTACTTTCTTTCTATTGTATTCATTACTATGTCTTCTGGTGATTCCATGACTATAAGGTTCTAGTGCCTATTATGCATATTTATGGGATGCTAAAGAGTCATGTCTTGCCTATGTACGATAGATTATGCAATAACTATGGAGTCTACACAGACAGGGAGGAAGACACCAAGACTTCTCAGTCCTCTGGGAAGTACACCTCAAAGTCATGCCATGGACTTCCAGGAGACTGAAAGTTTTAGAGTTACTGCCATGCACATCGAAGCCCTTGACATAATATTGGATGATGAAAATGCTGCTAAATTAGGAAAGAAAACAGAATATAAGAACTGTCTGGTAAAAGGAGAAAATAGAAGGCAAAGTATGAATATAATTAGGTTTGTTCTTGTAATTGATTCTGAAGCCTGATGGAACGTGGGTTTCTGAATAATTTTCAGAGCATTTTCCAGATGTAGCTTCCTTGTTACTCATTAATATACACATTTGTCATTAAATTCATTTTTTGGAACCCATAAGAATCATATGTTCCTCTTTCACTCAGCACACCAAGACACCAAGAAACTTGTACTTCACTTAATAATGATGACCAGCTTCCCATTCCATCTATCTACTTACTATTGAATTTACAAGTAAGATGTTGATACTGATTTTTAAAAACAGTCACGGTTCACTGGATTTTATTTGATCAACTTATTATGCATCTCTATTAAAGCAATTTTCAAAGTATTCAGTACTTAGTTTATAGATAATTTAAATTAACATGCAACTCCTATTGTCTTTTCATCACATTTATGTTTATTAAGAATCTTAAATTTTAAAAAAAACTGACTGAATAGAGAGTTATATAGAATTTAAATGGCGACTTATATAGAATTTCCATTTAACTAACATCAAAAAGACATTTAGCACAATAGTCAAATTAGGTTTAAAAATATATTCCAATACACTCGCAGAAGTGAACTTCAAACAAATATTTGAGCAGGGAAGGTTTTAAAATAAATGACTTCTTTGTTTAGTTGTGTCTATGCCTGGTTGATACCTGACACAATATAAATGTTGACTGATTTATGCCATAAAATAGTATCATAGCAAAAATTATCTGCACCTGAAGTCATAACTAAATATAATAAAATATTTTTGACTTTATGGATAGCCTTCATTTTAATAGCATTAAATACATAAATGAAAGTGAAAGTTCCTGATAGAGTTTAACACTTACCCACAACTTTGGAGTAACAAGGTTCACAGTGTATTGTCTGTCTATAAATCCAAATGCTGTCACCTGCTTGTAGATTTTCCAAAGGCTGCTTGCATATTTCACACTAAAGGGGGGAAAATACACACAGCTATATATAAAGTTTATACTACATGTGAAGTCCAGATCCTTAGAACGACAGAATAGCAAAACTCTTTCAATTCACTTGGCACCACCTTCCATAGCAACACGTTAGACAAAGTCAAAGATCAATGTGCTTAATTCTTGTAATCAATTGTTATACAGCATATCTCTACCACCAAGATATACATTTCAAGCATATCTACCACTGAAAAATCTGCTAAATCCACAAGGGAGTAGATAGATGATTTTTAAATAGTTTATGCCAGGACAAGCTCGCCAATCAACATCTCAAACAAATCACAAAGCATATTTAATGGTTGCTGACTAAAAGAGCTATGTTGTCCAATTGTAGATTTGGTAAACAAAATAAATTATTGATTTTATTTAAGAGCTTAGAGTTTGAGTTGTGATGACTGAGGCAGGAAAGAGTTGACACCTGACTCAGACCTGTGTTCCTAGGAGTAGGTCCACTGCAGGTTGGTTGACTTTCAACACGAAGTTAGCACTGATTAGCTGACATTCAGGAGGGAAGTTCACTGAAATCAATTATCAGTTGATCAATTGGACATATTTAAACCAACCGCGTGCTTCTCTATAATATGGCTATAGACTAATCCTCCTTTTCTTGGAAATGTGGGAACATTCTTATTCTCAGTTAGTCATACTTTATAATTGAATTGAATGTGGAAATAAGTCCTTCAAATAGAACAAATCAGAAGACTTTTCTTATTTTCAGGTTTTCTGCATAAAAATTTTAAGTAAAAATATATAGGCAAACTTCTGTTTGAGTAAATTTTAAAAGCTAAAATTTTATTTTCTCAAAATTAATTATGTAATAGTCTTATCTTTTATCTAGAGTATATATTTTACATGGAATATACATACTTAATATAGATTCTATATAGTATGTACTAAAATTGTATTTTCTAACTCAAAAGCTACACCCTACTTCTGATTTCTGTATAAATCAGAACTTAACTTTAACTTAACTTTAACTGCCTGAAGTTAATTTGAAGAGAAGCAATCAGTTGTCAAAGTATCAAAACTTGACTAAACTTGTTGATTTGCACCAGCCACAGAAAGCTAGTACTAGAAAAGTCCCATAGATTTAGACAAATGCTGCTCAAAATGATTGCCCAGTAGATCTATGAAAGGAACTTTAACAAATATCAATGCTAGGAACCATCTCTGACACTCCTGATGTATTTGGAGCTGGTCCCAAGAATTATACTTTACTCCTAATCTCCCGATATGATTATAAAGTACAGCCATGGTTGAAAACCACTGGTCTAGTCAACCACCTCATTTTATAGATGAAGGTGAGGTCAAGGTAATTTGGGTAATTCCCAAAGTTACACAGTCAATGACACAGTTAGAATTTGAACTCAGGTCTTTAGAGTCCCAGGTTAGTGTTCACAGAGTTTCACAAAAATCTGTAGTGTTGACCTACCTAATGTTTGTTACCTATTGTTAGAAATAAGAGAAATGATATATGAAGACACAAACTGTAAAATTTTCTGTCATATAAGCTTTATTATTTTATTAAGCTGCAATTTCTTATCATTAATAACACTTTCAAAAGCAGACTGAATGTCAACTATTACTTAGGCCATCAATCCCCATTTCATTATATAAGGAGCTACCAGCTTTCTTCTCAACAATTTCTTTTCCTTTTTGGAGTTTATTATATATTTTATGTAATGCATGGTTTATTAATATATTACAAAAGCTTTTATAAAAAGAACAAGTGTTTATCTTTTTACAGATTTAAATCTCTAGGGTAAGAGTCATAAATGTGTCAGTAATCATCTTTCTGCCTCAAGCCAAGATAATAATTATGAACCTTGGAGGCTTAGACTGCAGAACTCTAAGAAATATTTAAGTAGTGCATTATTAATGTAGATGAGAGTATTTCTGAAAAATTTAACTTCATTCCATGTATTTCATTAAAAATTATTTTATTCCAGTAACCATGCAATTTTATATTTAGTTAAAGGCGATAAACATATTCTTACCTTGAAGCAAGTAGAATGGCAGCAAATTTGTAATTCATCTAAAATCATTTTCGTTTCTGTGCCCAAGGGTTTTCGACAGTAAGTGCACATATCTCTTTCAATGACAGACCTATAGAAATGCATGCAATTAAAAATAAATTTGTCATCATGTAAAAGATAGATGTATCCCTCATCAAGTCATGTGGGAGTGATATGCTAATTCTGTTGATACTTCGGGAAATTGCATAAATATCAGGGAAAGTTCAGGGTTTACTAATTCTAGTGATAGAATGGGTTCTCCTAGTTACTTCAAAATGATATCAGAGAATTAACATGAAGGAAAGTCTCAAATTCCTAACTCATTAGTAAGAGTGCATCTGGGCAGGGGAAAGATGTTCACAATTTCCTAATTGAAGTAGGTCACAAGTATTCCTTGAAGCTAGAAGAGGGTTTTGAATTATTAATTTACATAAATTATGGACATATTATGCTGCAGATTAATATAAAATTTTAACTCTCAAAACATTGACTAAGACAAAAAAAGAAATTCACCCCAGGGCATGTTGGGAAATTTACAAATGATGAGCTTGTTGTAGCCTAGACTATAGGTTTAGAGAGCGAAAATGCTCTGTCCTTGTCACAGAAAGACACAGAATACAGGGCTGCCTTTCATGGCAACATTTATTTTTTATAACAAGGCATAGCCCACAAATTTGATGAGGGGAAGTTTTGTTGTTTATTTTAGGAAAAAATGTGCCCCAAACAATAGATGTGATCTGTAAAATACCATTGAATCATATCCAGTGTTAGAAACCAATGTTACCATAATTGAAAATAAAAAAATACAATAGCAAAGCCAAAAACATAAACTGGAACAAAGGTGGTGATTATAGATAGATCATATTAAGTACAATGCTCCTTGCTTCTTACAAAGAAACTTTTCCATCTGTAAATTAACAATGAAAATACAAACCTGATGAAAATTTTGATGCAATTATTGTACTTAATTATGTCATACTACTAGCCAAAGAGCTTTTCAAAGCATGATCTAGCCTTCTTTGTTACCTAAATAGTATTTGCTTTAATCCTGTGGAGATGACTTCATTCCTCAAAGAGGTGTTGACTTAAAAGAGAGACATTCAGAAGAGGAGTAATACAAGACCTTATAAAAATGACAGACAAGGCATATGATGTTGATGCCTGGCCCCTCTACAATGCCCTTAGCAAATGGAACATAAGTTCATTTTTTCAGAAATCATTTCTTGAGTCCCATTAGGTGCTGAGCATTACAAGCTGAGGCCGCGCATAAGAATGTCTTAGATCCCAACTCTTAATAAGTACAGTTTCCAACTACTGCTAATGAGAAAAAAACATCATCAGAGCATCAAATATTGGCCTGATGCCAGTTTCCAGTAGGTAGATTAAAATGCTAATTATTTGTTTGCATTTTCTCCACTGGAAACTTGCAGGTCTTACTCTCGTGTGTGTTGCCTCTTTGTCCCACTGAACTATAAGTGGTAGAAGAGGATCCACAACAGCAAAAGCCTGGGATCAGTTTACCAGCACTAAATTGATTCTCATTCTAACGCCCCTCCTGGGAGCTGGAGTGGGTTACAGCAGTGTGTCCACGCAGCTGTCTGTGAGATGAACTGGCTTAGGAAATCTGCAAGGCACACAGGCCAGGGGTGCCTCGACATTCATTATGTGGCTGTCCTCTTGGGAGTCAACCAAGAAGAGTGGCTGGATTGGGGAGCAGCTGAGAGGCACAGAAAGGTCTAGTGGAATAAAGTCCATCAAAAATCAAAGAGAAGCAACAACCAGGACATTGCCAAAAAGCTCCACAATGCAGAGGTTGTTTTACTCTGTTCCATTCATACACATATGCAACACTTTCCTTAAGGAGTGCATCCCCACGTACAACAGACAACAAGAGCATGTAGAAATATGAAGAGGGAGAGACGGAGAGAGCTACTGGAGAATACATACATATACATGTGTGTGTATAAACACAGGTACATGAAAATTTATGCACAGGCATAAATATTATGTATGCTTATGTGTTTGTGATTTTTTTTTTTACAGATTTATTTATTTGTGCATACAGAACTGGGGTACAGGCCAGAGGCTCAGGGGCGGCAAGAGGCTTCACCAGAGACAGAGTGGGGAGCAGAACAGGCAGATCAACAAAGTACACTGCTGAGGGGAGCAGCAGGGGGGTCAGCAGAGATCTGCCACGCCATGTGGTCACCTCCGGGGCAGACGGGAATCAAACTCATGCGGAAGTGGCTTTAGCTTCTCAATGCTGTGCTTTAATCCACTGTACCACTAGGGAGGGCCGTGTATGTGATTTTATGTATGGGATTATGAACATACTCACCTATCAGATGTCGAATAAACAGTCTGTATGTATTTTCCAGAAACATTCTCTCGATAGCCAACCTTTGGTGATTTCCTAAAAGCAAGCACATATGGATAAGTGAGATTTGCCTATGTCCCTCCCATTTTGTATCTATGCACATGTCTGCAGCCTTGCTGTTATGACTGTTTTGATGGCATAAGTCAGGACGGGAGATGTGTTAACACCTCTTTGAACAAAAATTGGAGGAGTATTGATACGTAAGCCATGTCGACATAAATTGCCATATCTGTGCAGGTAAACAGAGAATGGGGTATTGGGCCCAGGAACAATGAGAGCAGGAGAAAAGCAGTCATTTTTCATGAAATTTATCCTTGCACCTCCGTACTTCTTTGCTAAAAAAAAAAAATCCCTATGAGTCTTGCATAAACAGAGGAAACACACCCAGTAGCAGCCAGTAGACTGACATACACAGAGACACAAAGAGAAACCGAAACTCCTGCCCTGTTAGAGAAAGGTTTGACTAAGTTTTTATTTTCACATGAAGACATTTAAAAAATAGTTTAAGGGCCCTCCCTGGTGGTGCAGCGGGTTAGAACACAGCACTAAGAAGCTAAAGCCACTTCCGCATGTGTTCAATTCCTGTCTGCCCCGGAGGTGACCACATCGCATGGCAGACCTCTCCTGACCTGCCTGCTGCTCCCCTCAGCAGTGTACTTCGACAATCTGCCTGTTTTGCTCCCCACTCTGTCCCTGGTGAATCCTCTCATCCTCCGCATCTCTGGCCTGTACCCCAGTTCTGTATGAATAAATAAATAAATCTTAAAAAAACAGTTTAGAAGGAAAACCTAAAGAAGTATAATTTTTAAAAGTTCCCCTGTTTCCCTTTCTGACATTGCCCTAGTTTGTAATCATCACTCTTTCATGGAGACAAATGAAACCTGTAGTGCATCACCCAGCTGGCTGCTCATCATTGCTTCCCATGTACTGACGCTAGCTGTGAGCCCATAAGGAATGGCAGCAACATGCTTCTGTTACTCCATTCAGCGAGTGGTAATTCACAGCCCTCACTTTAGAATTTTTTTTAAAGATCTATTTATTTATGCTTACAGAATTGGGATACAGGCCAGAGGTGTGGTTGGTGAGAAGATTCACCAGACACAGAGTGGGGAACAGGACAGGCAGATCCACTGAAACACTGCTGAGGGGAACAGCAGGCAGCCCAGGAGAGGTCTGCCGCGCCATGTGGGTCAGCTTCCTAGCCAGGGATCGAACTCGTGCTGCAGTGCCTTTGGAGAGCTTCATAATGCGGTGCTTTAACCCGCTGAGCCACCAGGGAGAGCCCCACTTTAGAATTTTTAATGAGAAATATCTCTTCCTCCAATCTGCCCATAAGCAGACTGTTATCAGAAATAGCACCTACTTTATAGAAAATACAACCCACAATACTAAATAAGAGTGTACCTATTTATGCACGGTACACAAATCATTACTCCATTGTATGATGAAGAAACTGAGACCTGAAGACGTTCAGTAGCTTTGCAAGGCCAAACAGCAAATAACAATGATTCAGTCTCAAATCTGTGGCACAGTCTCTGCATTATCAATACAGGTTTTATGGAATATCGTGTTAATTAACCAGAAAAAAACAGAACTGCTTTTCTGAGGTCAGTTATGTGTGGGTTTAAGAACTCTTTTTTTTGAGATTGCTCATTGCCTAACACATACTGAATTTTCCGTGTTATATTAATATGTTATTTAATTCACCCCTGACCTTTTATGACTATTTGACAAATACTTAATATTGGAGACAAAGAATCATATAGACCTAGAACTCTACTTGAAAGCATATTTACAATAATAGCCTCTCTTCTTAAACCATTATAAAATATAGAAAAATAATTCAAATACATTTCCATTACCTATTCTCCACATAAGTTGTTGTGTACACAATGGTATCCTTTGGTCCTGCATTCCTGGTTTCAGAATTGGAGCTGCAATATAAATCATTTCACCTTTAAAGTTTATTTGCAAGTCTGATGAAAATAAGAAGGCTATTTTCCCATCCAAAGCAGAAAAATGCGTTTCTATTTCTTATGAACTTAATATTTGAAATACAAATATTAAAGTGGTGTCAATCCATCTCTACAAAATTTCTTCATGCCTCCCAATTTGTTTTTAACATCCACTGCCTTGGCCTGCTTCCAGCATGCCATTATGAAAATCGGTCACTCAGTAAATCTATTGCAGAGCTGAAGATTATGTTGATTGTTTGTATAATATATTTTAGTGTCTGTTTCACTGATGTCCTATTCGTATTTCCAAACCATACTTTCTAATGCAACTCTTTTCTGTAGAACTGGTTATTATTGATAAAATCAGGAACTTCTGCACTTCAAAGGAAGCATAAGATATATACAGGAGGTCTTCTAAGGACAGAAGGAGAATAGCACTCTTTATTTATTTATTTATTTATTTATTTTATAATGGCCCATGCTACCTGAGAGTCTTTCTGGTTTCATAAGCACTTGTTCTAGTAGACTGGTTGTTGACGGCATCAGCGGTTTCATTGACATGGCCATCTTGCCTGAGAAAACAAGCACAAATAATTGACCTTCAAAAGCAAGACCTCTTAGAAATGTTTACATTTGCATAACCTTTTATTTTTACATAGGGTGAGCCTATTTATATTTGCCAGTTTTCTGCACAGAAACAAAATAGGATATATATACTATTTTACTCCCTCTACAGGGACTATCTTTAAAAATGACTGACTGGTGTATTTCTTTCACCAAAGACAGGGACAGAATACTTTTTAGCAAGAATTGAACCACTCAAAATTGGCTTCAGTAATATTTTCATACGAGTAGAGCCATTTTTAAAAGTTTCATATGTATAATATGAATGAGAATTCATCAATTTAGGGGTTTATCAATGTTTCAGGAGTTTCAAAAATTCTAGTTTCCATTTTGTCATTAATGGAAAACAGTATTTTGAAGCAGAATTCTGAACCAGATTTGTGCTAAACTAAAAATGTCATAATGCTTAACACAGAGTAGGCATATTTACTTTTTCCTCTGAAAGAGAAGGAATATTGAAAGCTTTAGTTTCCCCTATGTTAGCAAACTCTCATATAAGAGGGATGCGAACACCAGGAGGAAAGTTCAGATTAATCCAGCCTTATCATTTTCAAATAGACTGCTCCTTTCATTTCCGCATAGCCCTTAAAGAAGAGGAAAATATTTGTTCACATGTTATTTCTAACAAAACAAAAATCACCTTCTATTTTTAGAGCACATAGCTTATAAAACATGTAACTGAGTTAAAATAATACTAAGGGATAAGAGGGTGCAATTAATATTATTACATAATTTTTATTTGATTACTTAATAGTCCATTTCAGAAAAAATAAACCTAGCAAGGAAGTGCTTGGAAATATTCAAATCTTCTAATAAAGCTTAAAATTAATATATATACAAAACACAACTTTAATAAATAACTTTAAGGACAATGTTTGCTGGAGAATTTGAAATGTGTTTGCACTGTCCTCAACAATGTAAAAGCAAATACTACCATTTTGCAAAATTTGCAAATAGAAGAGGAACAAGAATTCACAAGTAGTCTGCTATTCATTGAAATGTGCCCATTCATATGTTTAAGCCCTAATGCCCAATGTGATTTTAAAATACGACCTATAAGGTCTGGATACAGGTTCACGACTTTACCATTTCTGCTTGTGAATTTCTATTAAATTCCCATTACCAGACCTTCCATTAAAAACTTGTTCAGCTGAGCGAGCCCAAGTGAAACTAAAGCATCTCTCAAATCACAATAAATGGGAAGTTACTTAATTATACTTACTCTCTTAGTTTGATCATTGCAAGTAATATTTGAATGAGATTTTTTAATTGTACTTAAGCCCTATTTTCAAAAAAGTGGATTTTTTTCAAGACAGTTTATTGAAAGTTTAAACTCCCACATTCTATCAAAGACTTGTTTGGAATTACCAAAAAAAAAAAAATTAAGGCAAAAAATCATTAAAGAAAATAAGAGGACAAAAGAAGTTATCTACCTATTTTTTAAAAAGATTTATTTATTTATGCATACAGAACTGGGTTCTAGGCCAGAGGTGCAAGGGCGGTGAGAGGATTCACCAGAGACAGAATGGGGAGCAGAACAGGCAGATCTACGAAGTACCCTTCTGAGGGGGGCAGTGGGCGGGTCAGGAGAGGTCTGCCATGCCATGTGGGTCACCTCCCGGGTGGGATCTAACTCATGCTGAGGTGGCAAGTGGCTTTGGCTTCTTAGTGTTGTGCTTTAACCCGCTGCGCCACCAGGGAGGGCCCTCTCTCCTATTTTTAAAAGATGTATTTATACAGAACTGGGGTATAGACCTGTGCCGGGCGGTGAGAGGAATCACCGGAGACAGTAGGGAGCACAACAGGCAGATGGACAAAGTACACTGTTGAGGGGAGCAGTGGGCGGGTCAGGAGAGGTCTGCTGCGCCATCCCTCCCTGCCTGGGGAATCGAACTGGTGCTTAAGCGGCTTAAGAGGTGGTTTTGTAGTGCTGCGGTTCGGTTTAACGGTTGCACCACCAGAAATTATCTACCTATTAATGCAACAGTCTTTTATAGATATTATGAGGACAAAAAGGATCTAGATCTTTTCCTGTTTTTCTACTCTCTCAATACATACGTTTTAACCAAAAGAGCCCTTTGTCACCTTAGAAAGGTAAAGTAGGAAACAATTAAAGTCCTCCCATATAAGGAAGGAAAATTGCTAAAGGCGGAGAACTTTAAAATTTTGCTGCTAATTCAAACAGCTGTAACTATATTCTATGCTCATCTTCCTTGTAAGAGAAGTAAGATACCAGTTTAAAATCTATGATACTCCAGCAAAAAGAATTTCAGAATTAGGTCTTGTTTTGTATCTGTGATGAATTTGTGCTTTCTTTTGCACTAGATATCCAAGGAAGGGATCCCCAGAGCGCTTTCTGTACTGCGGAAAGCCAACCAAGCAACAGTGAGTAAAAATAAATCTTCACAGCCCTAGAGCAGAGCTCTGAATTTCCATGATGCTTTCTACATTCAGCAATTGAACAGCAGGCCTTTAGACAGAAATTCTGAAAGAATTCAGATTAAAAATTTTTTATATATATATAAGCTAGGAAGCTCTACACCCGTAATTTTTTTTTTATATAGTACTTATTTTTAAATATCAGAAATCTTGTAAGGTGATAAAAATTATGTACACTTGGAATTCAAAAGAAAAATTAATTTATAATAATCTTTACCTTCCATTCTTATGTTTGGACACATTAGAATTTACTTCAACTATATTTTCTAGGTCTTGGTCTCTGTAGAAAAAAATGTATAAATATTTAACATTAAATATTTATATGCACACACACACACATACACACAGTGATAAGTAATAGCTGCTGTTTATTTTAGGACATAAATATGAGAATAAAATATTTTAATCAGTACATAAGATTAAATAGTCATTTAAGATCAGGAAGATATTGAAAATCTGACATGAAATTATTTGACCTATACAACTCAAGTATGACAGTGTGGGTTACATTGAGAGAGAAATAAAGAATGAGTATTTTAGAATGGTTGAAAAGCCTGGTCTTTAAAAAATAAACTGACTTAAATTCCCATTCAGCTAACATTTAAGGAGTACTAATGTCGTATCACAGAGTACTATCTATTTCCTCCTAGATCATCTCATTCAGATCTCACAAAGTCCTTCAGGACAGCCTCTGGGGCTCCAGAAGGTTAAGTGAATTTTCTAAGGTCAGTTAACTAATTTGTAAGAGAGTCAAGATTTGAGGCCAGCCACCTGCCCAGCTGAAATCAGTTTTGGAGTATTTAATTGGAGATTTCATTCTACCTTACCGGATTACAGAAGCACAAGAAGTGAACCCAAATAAATGAATGTGGGACAAATGGAATGATCAACTATTAAATCTTGGACTGCATTAATGATTTGACACCCTTTCATGAGACAGTACCGCTAGTACAATACTCATGCACTATATATGTATATACACATATTAAACATTATTTATTAAAATATCTGGCATAGCACTGGCAGCTTTTGATATTTTTCATGAATTTGGAAGTCTTAATCATGGACCCTAATGGTGAAGAGCATTGTTCAGTAATCTGAACAAAGAGGTATCATTGCCCTACTGCCTCAGGCCAACTACTCAGTCCTCTCACTTCCTTCTGTAAACGATGACAGTAAAATTAATTTGTGAGAATCAAGGAGTTTATGTTACTAAAACTTATGGGCACAATGACTACAGTTGTGGGTAGACTAAATAATTTTAAGTGACTAGTGTAAGTGTGATACAACAGTAGTCACTATTAATTGAGCGGCTAGCTTTTCATTTTTATTCTGACCTAACTTTCACAACATTGGAATTCGCTTCAATTTTTGTAACTCTCCCTTCTCATGATCCAGAATAGTGAATTTAAATAAGATTATTCTACATGGACTCAATATGAACACTTACAAAGTTAATATTAGTAAGGATGAAAAATATTAAAAAATCCCTATACTTATATGGAATAAGATTTAGGATTCCTTTTATATAAAATCCAAATCATAATTGATAAAAATGAAAATTCCATAACTACATTTAAATATCATATATAAACTACTAGCTGAATATTTTTTACAAATGTAGAAATTAGTTAAATTTTTTTTAAAGATTTATTTATGCATACAGAACTGGGGTACAAGGTAGAGGTGCAGGGGCAGTAAGAGTCTTCAACAGAAACAGAGTGGGGAGCAGAACAGGCCGACTGACAAAGTACACTGCTGAGGGGAGCAGTGGGCGGGTCAGGAGAGGTCTGCGGCGTCATGCAGTGCCTGGATCACCTCCCAGACAGTGATCAAAATCATGCTGAAATGACTTTAGCTTCTTAGTGCTGTGCTTTAACCCACTGCACCACCAGGGAGAGCCATAAATTATTTTTAACGGGAGTTACAGTAGAAAATGACTATACATGCAAAAAGTACGGAAAGCTTAAAGGCTTCAAAATCATTTTATTCTCCAATCTGAATGATGTAAAATTCAAAACTGACTTCCTCACCACCACTGCTAAAACTATAAGAAAACCTTCCAAGTTGAACCCTTCAATTTAGAAATCAAGACAGCGAGCTTTGTGTTTGTGTAATCACTATCATCTTTCACTAATTATTAGAGCCATTTTCTTGGCCGTAGGGGGCTTTGTAGAATCTTAATATCCCAAACATTAAGTAACCCATCACATAACACTTCAGAATAATGCTTTACTAAATATTTGGGGTAATGGAAGAAAATTAAGTGGAATATGACGTCATTCCAAAATCTAGTTTCCCTAGGAATGCCAGAGATGGGATTGTTGGTAGTGTAAAAGAGTGAAAGGTTACCAGGAAATACTTATCTGCAGCTTGGGAATTAGCATTTTGTCACAGAAAGTGTTTCATCCTCCACTGCCAGCCTTGGTGATAATTGGGGGACATTTTGTAAGGAAGCTGGTGGTTTACTGCAACATGAGAGTAGAGTCACAGCCCCATAGCTTGGCATAACTTTGCACAGAATACTTGCCAACATACTTACAAAACTATTTTAATTTAAATTCTCCTTTCTCCTTCTGTTGGGGAGATTTATTACTTCCCTGTTTAGCACTTGGAGAAGTAGTACAAAGGCCATAACGAGAAGAGATTAGACCCTAAAGTCTAAGGCAATCAGCTTGACTCACATCTCATATTTGTGTGTCTATCTATGAATCATGACCGCAGAAAAACGTTGAAGCCATTGATGGGCATTTTGCTTCCCCTACTGCGTCTCTGTGTTGCACACATTTCTTTCCTTTATGGTACAGCTCCCAAACCTGGCTTGATTTCCTTAATTTTTGATGTTGTGTCCCAAACCCCCAACTCCACTCTACAAAGTTCTATGCTGAGTTCTAACTCCAGTGTGTCAGACTGTGACTATTTTTTTAAAAGACACCTTTGTTACAGATGTGATTAAGTTCAAAAGAGGTCATCAGGATGGGTCTTATCGAATATGACTGGTATCTTTGCAAGAAAAATTTCATACTAAGACACATACAGAGGAAAGAGTGTAAAGACAGAGTGAAGACAGACCTCTACAAGTGAAAAACAAAGTCCTGTTGTAAATCCTCCCGCTTGGTCTTCAGAAGGAACCAGTTCTACTGAGATCCTGATCTTGACTTCTACCCTCCACAACTCTGAGAAAAAATTAAGTCACCTGCCTGTGACATTTTGGTAAGGCAGCTCTACCAAAGGAAGACAGATCTGCTGCTGTGGGCAGCATGGTTATGTTGAATTTCTCAGCCTGGTGCTAGATATCCACACTCTCTCTAGAAGTTTCTATTTCTGGCTGCTGCAGTTACTGCAGATACTTCCAGGACACGTTTCCCTGATGCCCCCTGGGTACAAGCCTATTTAGACCCTACCTATTGTGAGAAAGAGCAGGAATAGTTTTGGACTTGAGAAAGAAATCACAATCTTACAAATTGAGCTACAGGCAGACAACTCAAAGTTGCAACCTAGGCACTTGTTCAGAGAATCACATCCCAAGGTGGTCACTGATCATTGAATGAGCCACAGTAAGTTTAGTCAAATAGATTATTCTTGCTTTTATTAAACTGTATCACATCTCAAGTTGGGAGGAGTAAATTATAAGATTTATTCTGAAAAATCCATACTAATATTTAAAATAAAATAGAAAGTTGCAGATGGCAAAAAGTACAAAATGTGTGTTTGCTTTGGTGATTTGCCATAATTCATACTGTCAAGATTTGAAGATCCAGTAAAAGAAGTTAAGGTTGCCTATGAAGTACCCAATTTGAAGGATGTAAAAATATATTTAACCCTTTAACTGAGACCATATTTATGGCATCATGTCTTTTATACTGTAGGAGAAGTTAGGGAACTATGAGTGAAAGATCAAAGCCAGATTTTTTCAGATGTCCAGTCACACACTGCAGGTCAAGCAAAGGCAGTTGCTGTGGATGAAAGAACTTAACGTTTTTTAAATCTATGAACAGCTGGAAATAACTTGAAGAAAATTACTAGTCCCTGTTGAATGCTTGTGGAAATGCTAAAAAAAAAATTATTTTGGTAAACTTTGCAACTAAAATGCTCTATTTTATTGAGGATTTCAAAATATCTGGGAGAAAAGTGAGTTAGTTGTTAGGAGGAACCACAGTACACATTTTGAATCTAAGCATTTATCTAAGTTACAGTAATGCCATTTACTTTCCACTGTCCCACTAAAGAATATAACACCCCCTTAAAGAACAGATTAAGGGGGGAAACAGAGGCTCTGGGGACCAAGATATTATAATGTTTCCCATTATACCACTTTTTTTTAGAGTAAACTGTGCATGAGTGAAGTATCAGCTCACTCCCAAATGCTCTTTCACTTTTACCAGGATGTGGGAGGTGTTTATTAAAAACTACAATATGTTTCTTTCTCCACAGCTTACTTGAATTGTTTTTGTAGAGTCAAATACATTTGTAAAATTAAGAACCTCAATATAAAAATAAAAATTACTATGGTACTTCTTTGGTACTAAAAGCTAAATTTTGGGTATGAAGCTGTAGTTCAAAAGGAATATTTGTGTTTCTCGATAAAAATATAGACTATAGAGCCAATATAATTCTTCAACTCTATTAGCATGCAAAATGAGTCCAACTTTATTCTCATAATTTGTTTCCATGATAGTCTTAAAGATTTTAAATTAAAAAAAATTAACAAATTCATATAGGAATTGGTCATCTTAGGTATTTTAAATATAAGATGTGACCAAGCAATTCAATGGGTCTTATTTGTCATGTTGCATGAAGAAAGTGTCATGAGCAAGAGAGAGTCATTGGCTTACACAAGAACACTGACCAGAGGGACCTGCTCCTTCAGTGTGGTGTCACACTGAAGAGTTAGCACTGGAAAGCAATAGCTTTAGTTAGGTGTCTGATCATAGGGCCTTGATTAGTTTGAGAGCTAGTCTTCAAGGACTAAGTGCAGAGGATCTAATATATGCCTGCCATCGTGCTACATGCTGTAGAAAGGAAGTGAACATGACACCCAAGTTATCCTCTCTACACCTTTAAAAAATCCAAGAGTCAGGGCCCTCCCTGGTGGGACAACCAGTTAAAGCACAGCACTACGAAACTATCACTCACTGCAGCATGAGTTCCAGCCCTGGCAACTAAGGTGACTGACAGGGCGCAGCAGACCCTTCCTGTCTCCCCTTTGCTTCCCTCTACAGTGTATTTCAGTACATCTGCTCCCCACTCTGTCTCGCCTCTCACCTACCATACCTCTGG